TCGGCATTTCACTTTCCAGTCACAGGCAGGGCTGTGCACTCTCTCGCCCCTTCGGCCCTTCCGGTCGCCCTGAGCCTTCGTGGCAGGGCCTAAGCCGCCTAAACCCCAAACAAGCCTACACCCTAAACCCCTAAACCCTAAACCCTAAACCCTAAACCCTAAACCCTAAACCCCCAACACCCAACCTTTTGACAAAAACTCTTCTAAGGCCCTGTGCAGGACCCTGGGCCATGCCACATCTTCCCCTCTTGGGTTTAGAAGGATCATGTTTTTTTTGTTAATGAATGTTTTGGGGTTTAGGGATTAGGGTTTAGGGCTCGGGTTTAGGGTTTAGGGCTTAGGGTTGAGGGGTCATGGGCCAGCCTCAACCCTAAGCCCTAAAACCTAAACCCTAAACCCTAAACCCAGCCTGCAGCCTTTCAAGCCGTTTTTTCTGAGGATCGAAAGTTCTTCCGCTTCTCCGTGGGCGGCCTATCAGATGCCAGCGAGATCCGAGGCCGCCCCCGGAAGCGGCCACAACCTTGGGGGGTTTGGGGGTTTAGGGTTTAGGGTTTAGGGTTTAGGACCCATTCCCAGTTGCACATGTTTTTCGTGTCAAATATGGCCATGCCCAGGGTTTGAGTCCAAAATGGGCCGGTTCTTTTTTTGCCACGAGGCTTCATTGCATTCCGTTCCAGCCAAACGTCTCAAGAACAGGTGAAGAATCACACCTGGTAACACCTGCAATAGTGTTCTAAATGAAAGCATCTTGTCATGACCGAGCCGTCTAACCATCCCGACGTGCAGGTCATCGGCGGACGCCGTGGACTCAGCACGTTCACACCTTCCATCCTACAATGCTTCGGGTCCTTTGCTCGCGGCTCATAGAGGGAGCTCCTTTCGATGGGGTGCTGCATGGTGCTGCCCTTTGCTGTGTAAGATTTGGTCACGGCCCATGAAGTTGAAACAGTTGTGGGCTCGATGTATACAGGGAGGAGGCTTGGGCAAATGATTGACAGCGCCGCACCTTTACGTGCAGGACATGAGAGTTGGCCAGTCTTTGGTCACGCCTTGCGCTCTGGACACAGAGTGCTTGGCTCATGGCGAAAAGCTGAACCTAGAAGCCTACACCCTGAGCACTTCTTCTGTGGCGGAGCGACTCCCCAGATCAAAGGCAGCCTTTAACTAAGCCTTTATCTAAAACCCAGGCCCTTTAAAGCCTTATACTTGCATGCCAAAGGTCTAGGTGACGTAGGGCTCGCGACTTCGGTCAACCCTTACCCCGGATGCCCCAGATACGTCGGCGCCATGCCCGGCAAGCTCGTGCAATGCCTGAAGCTGACGCAGAGCCTCTTGCCCGAAGGCTTCAACCCTAAACCCGAACCCTAAACCCCCGAGCCCTAAACCCTAAACCCTAAGCCCTCCCTAGACCCTCAACGCTTGATTTCTGCGTTCCCCTAAAAACGGTTAGGGTTCAGGGTTTAGGGTTTAGGGTTAGGGTCCAGGGTTTAGGGTTGAGGGTTGAGGGCTTTAGGGTTCAGGGTTTAGGATTGAGGGTTTAGGATTGAGGGTTCAGGGTTTAGGGCTGAGGGCCTAGGGTCCAGGATGCAGCAACGGATTTTTCTGAGTGCAGCCGCCAAGGTTCCAATCCGGTGATCTTGATCGACGAGATAGACAAGTCTTTCGCCTGCAAGCTTACGGACTGGGTATATAGATTCCTAGTATACATAAAGGGTTAATTTTTTTTGGGGCTGGGCTATTCAGCCCCTAAGCAAAGTCGTCAGCCTGCCGTTTTGCTTTGAGATGTCTTGTGATTTGTGTTTAGGGTTTAGGGTTTGTCAACTTGCTTGTTTGATGACTGAGATGTCTCTCTCTCTCTCTCTCTCCCTTTGTTGGCTGGTTGGTCTGTTGGTTTAAGTCTAGTATTCTTGCATTACACCTTACACCCTAAACCCTAAACCCTAGACCCTAAACCCTAAACCCAGCAATGCGGGAGCGAAAAAAAACCTTAAACCCTTAGTACGGGTGGCCGGGATGGCCTCTTCCTTGTCCAGTCGCGTCGTGTGCATCATCAGCCTCTGCGGCCATTTGCCGAAGTTTGTGGGCTAAACCCTAAACCGTAAACCCTAAACCCTAAACCCTAAACCCTTGAATCTAAACGAAAACCTTCCACACTCAACTCGATCGAAGATGCTCCGCACAGGCTGGGCAAAGACTTCCGAGGAGACCCATCGGCAGCTGCTCGGCCGCATGATGGGGTGTTGGGGTTAGGGTTTAGGGTTTAGGGTTGAGGGTCGAGGGTTTAGGATTTGGGGTTTACGGTTGAGGGTTGAGGGTTGAGGGCTGAGAGTTTGGCGTTTAGGCTTTGTAAGGGTTTAGGGTTTAGGGTTTAGGGTTTGGGATTCATTGCTTGGGGTTTAGGGTCTAGGTACGGGTTCAGGGTTTTAATGGGGATTATCGTACCCACTATGATAGTCCCTATGAAGGACTGCTAGCATACGAGGGGAGGAGGGCGGCATTCGGAGTTTAGACTCGAGCCGAGTAGACTCAGCCAACACCCTGAAAACCCCGCTCTGGTGCGCATCGAATGTCCTTAAGGCAACCCTAAACCCTAAACCCTAAGCCCTAAACCCTAAACCCTAAACCCTAAACCCTAAACCCTAAACCTAAACCCTAAACCCTAAACCCTAAGCCCTAAACCCTAAACCTCTCTTTCACAGATAATTTCAATGTTAATGAGTCACTGGGCAAGGTCAATTTTTTTTTACTGGGCAAGATAGTTTTTTTACTGGGCAAGGGCAAGGTCATTTTTTACTGGGCAAGGTCATGTTTTTTTCTGGGCAAGTTTTTCTTTTACTGGGCAAGGTCTTTTGTTAATGGGCAAGGTCATTTTTCACTGGGCAAGGTCATTTTTGATTGGGCAAGGTCAATTTTTTTACTCGGCAAGGTCGTGCCATAAGTGAAATATGTTCTTAACGTTGTGGGATTCTTTGGGCGGGTGGTGTTTTTCTGGAGAAATTTCTTGACTAGTGAATGCTTGGACTTGAGATGCTGAACCCTAAATCCTAAATCCTAAACCCTAAACCCTAAACCCTAAACCCTAAACCCTAAACCCTAAACCCTAAACCCTAAACCCTAAACCCTAAACCCTAAACCGACCGAGGCATTCTCGGGGTCCTATCAGGGGCGCTGCTGGGTTTCAGGGTCTGGGAGGCCCAGAAGACCGAAACTGGCCAGGTTATGAGCTTCTTCAACGCAAGCAAGGGTTTAGGGTTTAGGGTTTAGGGTTTAGGGTTTAGGGTTTAGGGTTTAGGGTTTAGGGTTTAGGGTTTAGGGTTTAGGGTTTAGGGTTTAGGGTTTAGGGTTTAGGGTTTAGGGTTTAGGGTTTAGGATATCCCAAGGGCCAGCCTAGGGAGGGTTGAGGGGTCAGGGTTCATCCCAAGGCTCTACTGGAAGTGTTGGCCTGGAGCTCGGAAAGGTTGCCTCAGGTGCAGGGAGGGTTCTGGGATTTCATGGGTCCCTAGGGTTTAGGGTTTAGGGTTCAGGGTTTAGGGTTTAGGGTGTAGGGTTTCGGGTTTAGGTTTTAGGATTTATGCCTAAACCCTGAACCCTACATGGGGGGTTTACCGATAATCATTAGGGGTATCTTTTTGGGGCCTTTACTAGAAGGGGATCTACTATCTGGGGTCCCCTCTTCATCGGAAACCCCAAATCGACAGTGCAGTCCTTCAGACTTGAGGCCTCATCACGTCCGGTATGAATTGCGCAGGTTGCATAGGCAGAGAGTAAGCAGGGATGAAGACGAGCAGGCATGAACAGGGCCTAGGGTTTGGGGTTTAGGGCTTCGGGTTTAGGGCTCAGGGCTCAGGGTTTAGGGTTTGGGGTTTATGGCTTAGGGTTTAGGGGGCCATGGGCGAAGGGATGAGAAGTCCATGGCGCCGTGATGTTCAGCCCCCGGGGCCCCGAGCCATGATTCCATGCCCTAAACCCTAAACCCTAAACCCTAAACCCAATGGCTACAAGACTCTTCTGTTCTAAGATCCGGGACTCCTTGCCTCAAGATGGCAGTTGCATCTGCCTCGACTTCCTCTGCCTCAAATGAGGTGGCCAGCATCATCAAAGCCAAGCTGATTGCAAGGCAAAATGCTGTGCAGCGTGATCTAGCCCTCAGAAACTTGGGGAAGCAGGCAATAGGCTCTTGGGAGTTCCTGTTCGTCGGGCATGACTTGCTTACAGAAATGCGTCACATTAGTGGTTCCCACATCACTCTTATGGCCCTGGAATCCAACACAGAGACGGGAATCTGTGAGTTCCAGGAGACATTGCTGCGCAACCCAGCAATTCGTGCTGACAGTGATACCCTAAGCATGGCCTCAAAGGGATACAACACATATGTGCCATTTCCAGTAGGCAGCTCGGTGGCTATTGTGAGAGCCTTTGACAGCAAGTCAGGAAAGAAGCTGGATGGAGCTGCGTTGGATGTCGCTTACAAACGTGAGAACGCAACCAAGAAGCATCAGACAGGGATTGTCTCCAACCCATACCTGCTCCCTGGATGTGTTCTCAGGGCTGCGACAGACCTCCTGGAATCCCTCTCAAATCATCCCGATTACGACTTCGGGGCGTTGGCTTTGACTCCGTCATGCTACCGTACGCTAGCAGGTGTGGATGCAACGGCCTTGACCATGATGGCGCCGTTCTACAGGGGAGTCCTAATCAACCAGGTTAGCAGTCCTCCGACCGTCTGGCTCCTCCTCAAAGGCCACGTGCAGCCTGTGTCGAGAGTTGAGCTAGTTACCACGCCGAGCCAGCTCATGGCAAACAAACAGCTCGCAAAGGCTCCCCACACAAGGGCAGCCATAGCTCTCCTTATGCAGATGCTTGGTGTGGAGGGCGCCAATCTGTTCCGAAATGTGGCTTCGCCAGACCACTTGGAACTGGCATCGGATGAGGAGGAGCTGGAGTTTGACATGGTGGTTGACGGAGGAGCCCCTATCTCAGAGGAACTATAGGGCATCGGTATGGACAAGTTGAAGGAGGCTGCCGACTCCGTCGGTGCAGCTGGGATCTTGGCCTTTTATTCAGGGCGGCCGCAGGAAGGCCCAGGCGGCTTCACGGCGGTGTGCCAGTTCTACAGTGGGGAGGCTGCGTACCAGACAGGAAAGCTTTTCTGCTACAGGTCGAGCTCATCTGAAGGGAAAGCGCAGCTCAAATCAATGACAGAAGCTGGTCCTGACGAGGCACGCAAGATGGCCCACAGGCTCTGCCATGACATGAGCTTGGAACCTCACAAACACGGCCACGTCTGGCCAAATGGGTGCACCAATCGGGCATCATTCATGTTTGAAGTGGTCAGTGCGCGTGTGCGGGCTTACCCGGAGTACTTTGCGAGCAGGAATGGCCCTGGCGCTATCTTCTACATCGAGCATAATGAAGTCAATGCGCGTGACGACTATTTCTCAGACGGCGGCAAGCTGGAGGGCGCAAACATCCTCGGGATGCTGTACTCAGCGATCCTGAATGAGGGTGCGAAGTTCAAGAGAGATCGTGCTGACTTTGAGCAGAAGGAGAAGGAGGTCAAGGATCAAGGTACCCAGCTGGCATCTCTCGTCAAGCCCGCCGTACTAGAGGTGACAAAACAAGTGCGCGAATTGACTGGCAAGAAGGCGATCGAGAAGAAGCGCGCCGAGGTGATGACTGAGCATGCCCGCACTCCTGCCCCGACAACGGCCGTTGCTGCTCCAGAACCAGATGAGTACGTCTTTCAGGAAGTGATGGCAAAAGGGGCAAGGATGACCGGCATAACATTGCCTGAAGGGTACACGATGACCAGGGCCAAAGCCATTGCCCAATCGAAGTTCGGTGCAGCTTACTCCGTGATCTGCCTCATCATCGGGATGAAGGAAGAGGATGTCCGCAAGCAAATGCCATCAATCATACCCCACCTCAAGACTCTCGGACTGGCTGGCGACGAGGGCTTAGGTAAGCCAGAGGATGACCCTGCCCAAAAGCTGTCAATGAGCCATGCTTCTTCCAATGATGCTACAAAGGCCGAGATCAAGAAAAAGCTGATGGAGCAACGTGAGGCGAAGAAGTTGGGCAAGATTGCCAAGGCAGCCTACCAGCCCACCATCTGGTTCATCAGAAAGCACTGCTACAGGTTCGCAGAGCCTGGCATCAGGCTGCCCACCATCGCTTGAGAGTCTTTACCGCCCTACAAGCTCGGGAAGCCTTGGGAGCTTAGGCGTACAATACCGGGCCGGAATGTCGTTGGGCTTGCCGTCTGAGATCAAGCGCCAAGATGACAGGTTCAGTATGCCTCCAGGATCTTCATATCCCTCGAAACCACTGTTAGCGCCGGTCTCAGAGAAGGCAGACTACCAAGTTTCTGAAGCCCCGCCGAGTGTCGACAGCTCGGTAGCTGTACCACAGAGTGCGATCTTGCTAGCCAAGCGAATGGGGTTCAGCAAATCCGCACTGTCTCACTTTGGCGAGTCAGACTCAGGCAGAAATCTGGTAAAGCCTTTCGAAATTGCGATCAGTGCCGCTCTTGGATGGAGGACGGGGCGCTTGATGCCATTTTCTGCAGCCATCCAACATGACGCATTCGGCGAACTCTTTGGGGTGCTGATTTGTGGCTCGGGCGAGAATCGTGCGAGGCTTCTGATGGGGGAGGGGATGTGTCCAGCAGCACAAGCCTCTTTCGATGTACCACTTCTGACCGACGGAGCAAATCTGACAGCACAAGTGCTCCTTTGCCCAGGGGACAACGAGGTCTATGCCACGATCCTGTCGTTCCCAAAAGGGACATCCGCGTCTGCCAAGACTGTGTTCACTGTGGGCATGGCCGAAAGTCAGGCCTCGATTGCCATAGGCAAGGCCAGTGACCAAGATGCCCAGACTACAATCGCAATGCTGGCAGGGATTGAGGAGCTCCAGACCCAAGTGATTGAGTGGCTCACAGAAGCGACTGACTTGGACATGCAGGAGATCATTGAAGAAGCTCAGGATCTCGGTAAGGCGCTGACAAAAGCTACGAGGCTGAGCACATCATCCACCGACTCGGCTACACCGGAGCCAATGGGCGGAAGCACAGATGGGTTTTGAGCAGGCCACATTTTCCTTGGGTGAGGACTCGGGAGTTCCAGTAGTCTTGATTTTGGTGTAACCGAAGGTGAACGCGTATGCAGTATATCCAGACATTCCCCTGCAGAGTGTCCGACAGGTCAGCTAAGCGGGTGGCAAAAAAAGCCCTAAACCCTAAACCCTAAACCCTAAACCTTAATGCATGGTTTAGGGTTCCAAGAGGTTCTCAACCCCAAGCCCCAAGATCAAGTATGTCTCTACTATTTCCTTACCCCCCCCCCTCCCCCGAAAGAGAAATAATGATGAAGGGGAAAGCACATGTATGTAAGGAAGAATTGTCCTTACGTTGCCCAAAAAAGGAAGAATCTTTTTGTTTTTTGGGGGTGGTTCTTAAGCAAATAGTAGGTTCAGCATCACCCGAAAACCCGAAACCCTAAACCTTAAACCTTAAACCCTAAACCCTAAACCCTAAACCCTAGTAGGTTCAGCATCGCCTTGGGTTGCCAAGGATCCCGAGCAGAACGTGAACTTCCGGGACCACTATCTGGCGCCACCCGCATGTACACCATGGGGGTTTGGGGTTTAGGGTTTAGGAATAGGGTTTCTGGTCCCTTTATAAATGTACGATGATAACAACCCCGAAAACCCGATTCTAAGTATTCTTAAGGCAACCGATGTTCGCCAGATGAGAGGTAGCTTCCGCGCTCCTGGGAATGGGGAGAGCCGATGATTGCGGATGCCTCGTCCTAGGCCCTTGATCCCACAAAGGCGTGAGAATCCTTCGACCCCTTCGAAGCCCTACTTGGAGGTTCATGGTACTTAGTAGCTGGTTATAACTGTACTTGTAACTGTACTTACCATATTAGGGCACTTCAGGGGCTTATAACCCAGTTAAGCACAGGTATAATTGGATAAAAAGTGCGATGAACCTCCAAGGACAGCATTCCCAAACCAACCGAAGCCCTCTGGGTTAATCTGGGTGTGTAAAGGACCCCTTACAGGGTTTATGGGTTCACATACCTTTAATAGGAATTGTAGTAGTCAAAGGTACATGACCCCAATTTTTGGGCTCATTTTTCAGGGTTTGGGTCGAAGCGAACTGCCCCCCCAGATCCCGATGCACCGACCTCCCCGAGCTACGTAGCTTCTTCTTAGGGTTTAGGGTTTAGGGTTTAGGGTCTGTGACTTAATTAATGCCTCTTTCGCCAGGACGTTCCGATAGATCTGCTCGGCCCTCAGCATGTGGAAGAGACCCTTCTTTCGCGAAGCTTGCGTAAGTCACAGACCCTAAACCCTAGACCCCAAACCCTAAACCCTAAACCCTAAACCCCAAACATCCCCAAACCCTAAACCCTAAACCCCCTGAAGCCCCTCAAGCCGAGGCTGCCCAAGAGGGGGTTTAGGGTTTAGGGTTTAGGGTTTAGGGTTTAGGGTTTAGGGTTTAGGTCCAGTATTTGATGCGTATGACCACGATTTGCTTGAGAGCCGAGCAAGAAAATGCAAAGCAGTCTTCCTTGTAAGGGTAGCATAGGGATGATGATGATTGTTTTAATTATCATGATTATTATGATTGTGATTATGATAATGATTATGATTATGATTATGATTACTATGATTCTTCTTCTTCTTATAGTTATCGTTATTCTTATTTGTGGTTTTTGCTCTTTTTTTTTGCGCGGGGGGGGGGGGGCCTTAAGCAAACAGTAGCAAAAAAGTTCAGGGCATTCCTCCCAGCAGCTTTGCGAGCTGGGAGGGCCCCTTCGGTCTTTTGCCGTGTGATCTCCAGGCCAGGTGGTTTCTGCAGGCTGAGGGTTCAGGGTTTAGGGTTTAGGGTTTAGGGTGTAGGGTTTAGGGCGGCTCCTGCACATGAAACCCGACTTGCAGGGGGAAAGCGGGGGCTCCAGGGTCTCAGAACGGCTTCGAGCATCATCTTCTTGGCTGCGTGCCTGTGCCGAGGTCTCAAGTCCTCTTTGCCTGGCACCTGGTCTTTTCCGGGTGTTTAGGGTTAAGGGTTGAGGTTTAGGGTTTAGGGTGTCGGGTTTCGGGTTTAGGGTTTAGGGTTTCGAGCTTAGGCTTAGGGTTTAGGGTTTAGGGGTGTGCGGCGGGTGTATTGTCTCCCCCCCCCTCCACGCGGCGTGATGCAGAAAGCGCTAACTCTAGGTAGGACCTTGGGACATCTCATATTTGCATTTCTTGGGGTCATATTCATGTTCTGATGAAGTTTAAAGGGGCAAACTTAGGTAGCTACAGATTTCCTGGGTCGTTTCCCCAAATTGGGCTTAAGAGGACCACATAAAGAAACATGTTTCAGAGGGCTCTCGTTTTGCGACAGGTCTGCACAGCCAACGCGCTGGACACCATTCCAGTTCCCCTGCTGGACCGGATGGAGGCAGGGTTGCACATGCGCACGTGGGCAGTTCTCGAATTTAGGGTTTAGGGTTTGTGGTCCTCCGTTTGAGGGTGCCGTAGTATAGGACCCCAAACAGGGCCCAACTGTAGATTTCTCCCAAGCACCTGGGGGGCCAAATGAACCTCATAACATGGGGATCAGATATACTCTATTATACTGGAGCCCCTAGTTAGGGTATATGGACCATACAATCCTTTTAGGGCCCAAGTAGTAGAGGTTTGGGACACGAGGGTGCAGGCTTGCCGAACCTCAACCTTATTGGCTTCCATTCTTTCGGAGACCACACCCATGTCATCATCGTGGTGACCAGTGTGCCTATTCATTTATGTTCTGAGCGGCTCAGCCTGTGAACCTGCGTGCTGTCTGCTACCTCAAAGGAAACATGAAACAAGAATTGCCAGTTCTTGCAAAGTCCCAAGCGTTTCCCTACGTCGCCGATTCTGTCCGGCACCCTCAAGTCCTCAAGCCTTGGCCCCGTCTCTAAACCCCGAAGCCCAAAAACTGCCACTATCCCCAGAAACCTACATCAAGCCCGAGACCCGAGCCGTTAACCCCCTATAAGCCCTCAAAGTCCCAATATCCTACCCTAAACCCCAAACCCCAAACCCACAGAAAGCCCAAATCCCGCACCCCTAAATCCTCTCGGCCCTTTGGCCATGCTTGAACGCCTCCGGGAATTCCGGTCTGAGTTTCCTGAGATTGCCACTGCGGAGCGTGCGCCGCTTGTCTTCACCCGAATTTGGGGTTTAGGGTTTAGCTTTTATGGCGCTTAGTAGCTGAGTGAGTACACTGTACACCTTTTTGGGATACGATAATCTCTACAAAACTAAAAGTGTACACTTTTCTGGGGCTTATGAACTCAGCAACTAAGATGGGTAGAGAGAGAGGGTTTAGGGTTTATGGTCTAGGTTAGTGTAGCTAGGATCTGTGGCAGGGTTCATTGGCTGAGGGTTTAGAGCTTATGTTCGTCTTTTGTTGATGTCCCAAAGTTCTTGTGGCTGTAGCTTGCTGCCGGTCAACTGAACCCTCAATGACGTTGAAGAATGTAAGGTTTAGCAGCTTAATAGGGATCAAGTCCTGCACTTTGAAATGGGCACGGATGGCTTCATCAAGTGTGCCATTCGTGTGCCGAACTTAGAACTTGCGTTTTGCATACTTCCTTCGGACTGTTCCCGGACCTTTGTTTAGGGTTTAGGGTTTAGGGTTTCGGGTTGTTCGTCCCCCAGCCCAGTTGCGAAAGGGTTTAGGGTTTAGGGTTGTAGGGACTTTCAACTTTCAATATGCACCAAGGCATTCTAGCTCCGCCCTTGGCCCATGCATGGCAGCAAGCTGGACCCTAACGCCCAACCCTAGACCCTCAACCCCCACACGGAGCTTGCCTATAGTCAGGGTTAGGGTTTAGGGTTTAGGGTTTAGGGTTTCGGGTTTCGGGTTTCGGGTTTCGGGCTAGGGTGGCAAAACAAAAAAACCTATCAGCCCTGAACCCCTGTACCCTACATTCCCTAAACACTCCGCTTCCCCCCAACATGAAACCCCACCGTACCCCCCCCCCCCCCTAATATTACATACCCCCCCCCCCCCCCCCCCATATACTACAATATATCGATTTAATATTCGGGGTAAGGGGGGTTTAATATCAGAGGAGGTAATAACGTGAACAGGCTCTCAAGGCCGCTTTAACTAGGTTTAGGGTTTGGGGTTTGT